TTTCACTAGTTTTATGAACCCACAAATTACAGACTTTAATTTCAACCGTCCACCGTGGATAGATTCTACACATTTGATCATATTAATTAATTTTATTTAGTTTCCTTGTCATATTATTCGGCATACAGAAGCTGCACATAAATGAGTGAAACAGCTTTTTTCTTTAGTGCAAAATATATAGAAAACGCCAGCAATAATTAGAGGAAGTATTGCAATATTAATTGTATTTTTGTTTAAAATTTTCCCCAGACTCATGTTACTTGCTTATTATGAGCCCTGCAGCCAACAAAGTTCATAGACCACAAGCAATTTGGTGTATAAATAGCCGAGTAAAAAATGACTTTTCATAAACGGGTGAATAATTCTGAAACTAGTAAGGAATTATTAAGTATGTATTACAGACGTGCATAATAATATTACAATAGAACAGCAAAAAATCCTTGTAGGTGTACACTTTGGATTAAAGGCTTATTACTTTGCAAGTTAATAAGGTAGTCAGTCAATGTGCCGAGAGATCAGGGTGTGGTCTATTGGTTAACATGTCGTACTGACTGTTACGGCAACATCATGCTGGGTGCTTTAAAATGCCTAACATTCTGATCTATCAGTTTAAAAAAATTTGCACCTTTCTACACAATATCAATTATACAAAGCACATTATACTATACAGAATTAGGAATATTTATAACGGGTTCGAAATAAAATCTACCGAGTTGGGCATATTTTAATATAGCGTTTATTTAATTAATGAATTCTTCTTAAACTACCCAAAAATCCGTCTAAATTGGCAGCAAACATAAAAAGATTTAGTTTGTTCAATATTTAACCCTTTTATGCATATTCAATACATATTTGAAAAAGCGAAAAATATATTTATTTCTTTTTAACTAATTTATTATGCGAATAAATCAGTCGTAAAAAATCTCAACCGGGATGATCGGCACATTTAATATTTAAAAAGTTGTAATTTCTCTACGAGTGAGGAACCGAAAGTTTGGAACAGTAGATACTAATATATTAAATATGGCGATCATAATCGGATGACAATTGTTGTTTTTTTTTATCAATAACATATCTTGCACGAGTATTTCGCATTGTTCAGCAATAATACTTTTGGCATTCTAAAATTATTAGGTAATAACGTGAACCGTGTGTCAGCCAACAATAAAAATAAAAGTTTCAAACGGAAAGTTTTATTCTAATTACTTTTTAAAAACATCAATAAAGTACTACGGAAAACCCTATTTTTTAATTAAAATATTTATCACAATATACAGTATACAAACAAGTTAAAGTTCTACAAATTGTCCGAAAATATTTAACAATAAACGAATTAAATACAGCACTGAAAAAAATTAGTGATAAAAGATAGCAATTAAATTTATATATATGTTTTTTTTTTTTATACTTACCTATACATATTAGTTCACGCTGCATATAGGTTTAATTAGATCTGATATTTTGATGAAAATTATACGGTTTCTCAGTTGAAATTGGTTTGTGTAATACCCAAACCTGTTTACAAAAATTGGCACATATATTTTTCTTTCCCTGTAATTATATATTTCAAATATTATTAACGTCGCGTATCCGTCTTACAGAAATCGTTTGGCACTACTCCAAGTACAAGCTTGCATCATCAACGCAGCAAGCTCCCACAAAGCACGCGAGCTCACAAAAAAAATCTGAGCTCAAGCATTAATTTTAGAAGCACTTTGGGGAATCTCTCAATCATGAAAACCTCTATAAGGTATTACTAATTCTTTTTATTAATATACACAAAAACGTTAGAAATTAGTATACTATATATTTCTTTCACATTTTCCATAAAACAAATAAAAATGTATTAAAGTACACAATCTGAAAATGTATAAATCGTTGTAAGCTTTCTTAGGAGGAAACACGCAACTCTGCCGTGATTGTTTACGTCAAATTCGTCTGTAAACACGACAATTACAATAAAGAGGGAAGCAGTGGAATAAAGAGAAAAACAAACATCTCAGCTCTACGATTAAATAGCACGTTGGAAATATTAAAACTATCTTTACGCATCAGCTACAATAAAAGCGCATATTAATTCTAAAAACCTGTTTTTTTTTTCTGTTAGGAGGCGTGCAAGTCACGTTAAAAGTAACGCATATCTTTGGTTGTAAACACGTCTCTTTCCCCATTCAGAATACGAGTGATTTTTTGCTTGCAAAAATTATTATTTATTTTCATTTATCTAATGCTTATACACATGCATTTAAATAATAGTGAATTGTACTGTGTAACGATTTATACTATACAAACTCAAACATAAAGCATAATACGCAGAGAATGTGCACATTAATAATAATAATAATAAAAATTACAAAACAGGAGAAGCTGACAAGCAAAAGAAGAGAGAGAAAAAAAGATAAGAAGTACGTTAAATATAATATTTAAAAAGCTTAAATTCCTCTACGTATCCGTGGCATGCATATTTTATTTTCCTCATTTATCGTAATATAACAAAAATACATTTTCAAATGGATATTTGCATAAAATCGCATAAGTTAAATTATTTTTAATAACAGCAAAAACAGATACAATTCGAATTGTCTATACAATTTAAGGAAAACAGTTTATTGACTACTGATTCATCGCTAATTAAGAAATACTTAAGAATTTTAGTTTGACTTAAGTACTTTAAAAATAGTTAAAAAAAAGTATTTTAAATTTAACTGTATTTATCATTATAAATTAAAATTATCATTAACTAAGTGAACCTTTAAAACAAATTTCCTGGCATTTCTATATAGAATTCTAATGACACTTGTATAAAGTGGTTAAAAAAAACTTGAAAAATGTCAGGAATGTGCGATTTTCATACAAATCTTTAAGTACGTACAGATTAAGTTTGTTAAACAACCCAAAAAGTTTGGTTCAAATCAAGCACAAGTCGCTTTACAATTCTTAAGTTTCGTCTATATATATTACAATGATAGGTACACTATGACGTAACAATTACGTTGGCAATAGCGGAATGCAAAAATATATGCAATTTTTAATATAAAACCCACATTAGGATTTTAATTTCATCGCGGTTTGTAATATTTTTAAATATTCTTCACACAAACTTGTTCATTTTGTACATTCAGCCAATTAGATAATTTAAAAACTGAATACAATATCTGATAAATAAATTGTAGAAACAAAGATAACTGTGAACGTAGATTAGTTGTTAAATTATGAATCAACTAAATGAAAAATAAAGTTTTAAATCTTTTTATACCCTGGTAATATAATATCAGCTAACCTATTTATTTTAACAACAGATAATCTCTCACACCTGCAAGGCATTTGCTTTGTCGTAATGTACATGAATAAGCCTCGTATTCTTGTAGTGAGGGTATAATATGTACCTAAATAACTAAAGTTAACAAAATAATGCAAATGTACCTGTTCAAATTACCTTTATTTATTAATACATAACGTGATATTACGTCTTCCAGGTTTTGTAACTACTCGCACTTTTTCAAACTTTAAAACATCCCTACTGTACAAAATTTTATTGAAAATAAATAGTTAAAAATAACATAATCGCATGTCACTATCTCAAACAATGACTTACAAGTTTACTCAGTAATAATGACAATATTGAAATTCATGTATTTTCAAAGAGTGAACACTTGAGTGTGGGATCTATAATTTTCATAAAAAGATAAAGAAAGGAAATCCGCAAGAGGAGAAAAGAGAAGATGACATATTATCACCCAAGGGTAATTGGGCAGCAAAAGAACCACGCAAGTGGAACGCTGGCAGCATGAGGAAAGGTTTAGTATTGGAACCAAAGCCACGTAGCAGAACGCCGAGGTGTACAACACACATATAGCGAAAAAGACTGCACTAAGCGAAAGTCAGCTACGTTAGGCCTCTGTACTATAAACTAAAGGTCATGCATGCCATGCTTACGGGTTTACTAACTTTAGGGAACTCCTCTAATGTTTCTAGATATTAATACAATAAAAAATATTTAATATATTAGTTTGAAGATATAATATGTATGCATTTTAATATGCAAGCTCTATATCACTTCTGTAGTCGTTAACAAACATTTAAAAAGTTAAATTAAACTACATCACCATAATATAGTCACTCCTCGTATTTTCTTCAGCTTGAAATATGATTCTTTGAGGTCTACTTATTTCTTCTTATCTATTTTTCATTATAAGTGCTTTAAGCAAATAGAAGTGTTCATTAGTTTCAGTTAGATAATGGCAAGTCAACTCAAGTGTGTAGCGTTTCTCAGCATTTAAAATGGGTCTTTTTTTTGTGCGTGTCTTTTTCGCCGTAGCGTGCAAGCCCGCTTTCCGCCATAAAAGTTGAGGTAAAACTATTATTTATTTTTCAAAAATGTTTTGGCATACATATTTTGACTAAATAATATTCATACTTCAACATAAATATTTTATTTTCTTCATTTATCATAATACAACACGAAATACGTTTTCAAATGCATATTTCAATAAAATCAAAAATTATTTTGAATAACATCAAATATTGATACAATTTGAATTTTCTATAAAATTTAAGGAAAGGTATATAGTTTATTGATCATTGATTCATCGCCAATTGAGAAATAGCTAAGCTTTTTTGTTTAACTACTAAGTAATTTACAGTATTACACATTTTTATAAATAGTATTTTAACTGTAGTCATTATTATAAATTAAAATAATCATTAATACTTCCTATTTCTATATAAAGTGGTTAAAAAATAAAAAACGAACAAGGTCAGAATTGTGCGAATGTCATCTAAATTTTTAAGTCAGTACCAATTACGTTTGTTAAACAACCAAAAAGTTTGTTTTAATCAGTCTTCAGTCGCATTACAATTTTTAAGTTTAGTGTATATTTTATAATAATATATCATGCTCACAAATAAATAGGGGGGTGGGATTAGTATTTTTTTTCCTTAATTCGTACACCTAATAAAGAATAAGACAAAAAATACTAATAAAATAAATACTATCTTACCTCTCCATGATACGGTTTTCTTCCTTCAGGAGTTTGCTCAGGAAGGAAATAAAGTCTCATACTTGATAACATTTGATCACTGTTTTTGTCCTCCCATAGCAACTGCAATTCGCCTATACACGGATCATCATCGGGCGGAATCCTCACAAAGAAGAATTCCCCAAGTGTTAGAACCTTGTATTTCCAGTGCTTCAAATACTTAAAGGCTTTATAAAATGTGTAAGATCCATGGTGTCCGCACGACGTACCTACAAACTGAGAAAACGTCATATTCAGAATCAATTCACACAGCCCGCGATAAACGCGTGTGCGTTCCAAGCCCTGAGCACATGCTACTAGTGGTCCCCTAATCTAGCGACACTACACCTACAGCAAGGTCGCCTCTCCCCTCGCGACCCCTTCCCCTAGTGAGGCACGCAGCATGAAAATTATGTAGTAATCTACTTTGAAATGGGTAAGGAAAATAACCCTGAACAAGCATGCTTAACAGTTATTTATAAATAAATAAAGAAATAATAAAGTTATACTTTACCTGAGGCAAACTTGAAGTTGAACTCATTGTTGCTGGGGGTTATGGTTTATAGTAACTAAATTCATTAAGTACAGAAATTTAATATATATTAATATATATATATATATTCATGAATATCTAATTAATATAAACACCGATTAAACTCATATAATTCAGGAGTTTTCCCATATCACCTCTTATCAACGAAAATGTTTGGACTTTCCAATATGAGATTATACTTAACTTTCCTACCCCAAACGCAACCTGCAAACGAAGTGATGAATAAATAAAACAACCAACAATATCAATGTCGATTTGAGCCAATACCGTTTGCTGTCACTTCATAATCCCATCGTGCACCTCGTTCAGCAATATGGCCTTATTAACTGTTTCAGGAGGAGTACGAGTAATGTGTGATTAGGTTGGTGACGTTTTTGTAATGATGATCTTAGGTGTAGTTAGCATTGTTTGTTTTTTGAAGATATAAAGGTAGATTTACTTAATTTAATTTTGTTCCAAATACGAAAGAGGTTTTATTATTAATATCTCCACAAAAGAGGTTAAAGTGCAATTAAACTTTTCGCTTCTTTGAAAACTTAGTCTTAGCCGTGTATACCGATTACTGTAATAACGTTACACATATTAACTTACGAATGCTATTTTCGTCGTTGTAGTGTTACTTGGGAAAAAGAAAAAGCGTCACATGAGTATAAATTTTTGACTTGTTTAATTTAGTAATTTTTAAGTTAAGAATTAAGATGTGAAGAGAAAATTGTACAGATTGATGGAAACATTTTGACTGATTTGTAAGGAATGGATTTCTTTAAAAGCAATATTATTAGTACTACTACTAGGTGTCACCGTTGTACAGTAAATAGATTAATATATAATTGAAAGGAAGTTATGTTTAGATAAGTCAATTTAGCTTCATTGTGAAGAATTTAGCAGCGTACCTTTGCAAATATTGTATTCATTGTTTTGTTTTAAATCGGTTCTTTTGATAATTATACTATATGTATGTATGTATATATATATTTCGTGCTATCACTTTAAATGTTATCGAAGTTATTCGAACTTCTGCTTTTCATGCAATATTATTATTATTCATTTATCACGAATATGTTCGATGGCATTGTAAATCATCAGTTCACATCTTAAATTCTTGTTAAGTGCTGGCTTCCACTTTTGCCAATGATGCCTCATTCCAAAAGTCAATTGTCCTGTTAAAAAATAAATCTGCCTTAACTAGACCCTAGCCTAACTTTTCCAAATTTTAAACTTGTGTTCTCTTGTTTTGTTTTCTTTTGAAATGAAGAAATTGGAGGTATTTATCTATTGATCCCATGTATAATCTTGTTAATTTCAGTAAAATTGCCTCTAACCTTTCTTTTCTCATGAGAAAATGAAGTTAAGAGATCTTAACCTTTCCCTATAATATAACATTTTAATCCCAAGAAACATTCTAGTGGTTTTCCTTGGAACCCTCTCCAATAAATCAATATCCTTAGATAAGGATACCAAAATTGTACACACTATTTTGAGTGAAGCCTAACTAATGATTGATATACAAAGATGATAACCTCTCTTGACTTGTAATCCGTACCTGTATAACTACACTCTAAAATACTATTATCTGTACTACTACTAGCAACAGAACTCTGATCCAGTGGTTTGAGTGATTTTTCTACCACTATGCCAAAATCCTCTTCTTTAGTCATACTATACTGAATTTCCATGTATATTACATATTTGACCAAAATTATGTAAACTCAAAAGCATCTAACTTATATTTACTGTATATTAAGGCAATTTTCAAACTACTAGTCTCACTTAACAATTGATTCTGTAGTACCTCAAATTGAGCTAGAAATATCCAATAATTTAATATCATCAGCAAACATTTCTAACGTGTGTGTGTATATATATAAATTATTGTAAATAAGAAAAAGTACAGACCCAGGCATTAGCCCCCGAGACATTCCATTAGTAATAATATTAACAACAGCCTTTTGCTTTCTTCTATTCAACCACTGTATGATCCAATTAATTAGTCTTTCCCCAACTCCTACCGATCAGAACAAGCTTCCTACATGGAGCTAAACTAAAAATCAACCTCGTAATGAGTTTAACTAATTAAATATACTTTTTTCTTACATTCTTGTTTATAAAGATTAGTACGTGTTGTTTCATTAGCTGGGTACCCTCACTGTTAGCAATATTTTTGGCCATAAAACCAATAATATCTCGCTAGGTTTGGCCAGCTTAGGAGACTTGGGTTAGTCCTAAACCTATGTACTAAACTAACAATACAAAACAGTCTTTATAATGATAAGAAATTAAAGATAATAAAACTAGATACAGGGATGGAAATAATGAAATATATTACATTCACTCAAGGGAAAGCCATCGGGAAGATTACTTTCTCTCATGTAATGTTTTATTTCCTTATGAATTGTTTTTTTACTTAATCTATACAATATGTTGACTTTCATTGGTCATAAATAAAAGACTACAGATAGACCATGCATTCCCAATTGGGAAATCCAACTAATAAGATGAAATTCCTTAAGCAAAGTTAAATTTCTCGGGAATGTAATATTTCATTCCCCGATATATTTTAAACACTATTCAATACTAATAATGAAAGTGTAATTAAGGAATTAGTAGAGTATACTTTATTTAAGGAACACTCTAACACTAGTTTTTAGCTGCAAGTACTGTTGTAGATTTAATGTTTTTTTTGGTAGAGGTTTAAGATTTTGGACTTGTCTCTTTTAATGGCATACAACATTTATAAGTGATGTGATTTGGGTGTTAAGAATTGTTAGAACTTTGGATAATATTTTTCATGGGAGTGTTTGACAAAAAAGGTAGGAAATTAAAATTTTTTTTTTTTTTTTTTTTTATCAGAGTTAGAAATTCATAACGGGTTTAACTTGACTATGAGTTTTGTGCAGTTTGAATTATTTTTAACTTTCATAAGACAGATGTTAAATGTTATATTTTATTAGACTGATTGATGTTGTGGGTAAGGGGGGGGTGACCACAGTTAGCCAGATGAATTTCTATCTCTATAATCTTATTCTTTATTCTTGTTTAGCATACCCGATTTTAGGACGCTAAAATCGTTTCCTATTGAGGGTTAGGCCTTCCACCCAACTAAAACTGAGGGTTTGAAATTAATGTAGTATGTGTATAGTGTAGCTTTCCCATTCCATGTACGTATAATAAAGAAAAATGTGGTATTTTTCAAACTCTAGTAAAAGTACTTTTAAAAGCATTCTGCCTATATTTATGGATGCTACACTAAATACGTTGCACATCAGTTATACACTACTTCATACGTGATACTTGCCACACATTAAAGTGATGTAAAAGCATGCCAACATTCTACAGCTGGTGTCCTTATGATGTAAGCTTCTTCAGCATTATTAGGAAAGTACATTATTTGGTCGAATATAATGCGCACTTGTTTCCTCCAAATACCTCCTGAAAAATTGACTGCACATTATATTTGTGCACGTTCAATTTTTTTAGGTATTTTACCAGAAGCTACCAACAAAAATCATTAAAGCATCATTAGAGGTTTCAAAAAATGTTGCATATCTGTTGCAATGGATGGGACGGATGATGACATTTTGTGGGAATTGGAAGAGGATGAAGCAAAGGTTCAAGGAAGCAGATCTGATGGTAGTGACGAAGATTTATGTGAAAATGAATGATTAGGTTAGCATATTACCACGTATAAACTTCCCAGTAAGTTTTTTAAAATTGACACACACAAAAAATTTCTATGAAAGATCTTCCAAAATGTTTAATACATTGATAGTTCTTTACTGTATTTAGAAACTATTCAATACATTTTTCTTCAATTTAACCTTTCAAAATTAGTGCGCATTATATTCGGGAAAAATATGGTAAATAAAAAATTTATTTGTGGAGATGAAGGGTTAGAAGAATTCAAATGATGCAAAGAACCACAATCTTAAACCTCCTGACAAGTCTTGTACTAAAATGACATGGACTCTGTCTTCTCAAGAGCTTTATCTGCTGTTTAACAGTCAATAGTTGTCATTGCATAATTGTTGCTTAAAGACTCAAACTGAAAACAAAACAGAAACAATGTTTTTAACTTCTTTATTTAAATAAACTTAGTGATATAATTTAGTGTGTCTGGTCATATTTTCTTTGTGTGTTTTGTAAGTGGTATTGTCTAGGTTTTATCTGCTGTTATATATAAACATGTTTTTTATTTCATTCAGCAGTATATTGAAACAAGCCACGTTTCGTGACATTTGTACCGACACATCATCACGGACCCCTCTTCTGGAAGAAATGTCAGTAAGATGTACATACAGCTTATATTTATAGACAAATTGCTATTTTAAAACTTCTTTGTTGCATAATAAAGTTTTTATTTTAATTATTGAGTGTTAAATGTTTTCATGATTTTCTGGTAATTGGAGTGATCATGATAAAATATTGTCTTCATTAATATATGTTCATGCAGTTGCTGAGAGGTAATTTTGAAGGCTTGCAATGCTAAATAGTGGGTTTCAGTTACCTATTGTGGACATAGTATAGATATCCCAGTGTATAACTTTGTATGAGGAAAGTAAAATGATTTGTATTTGTCCAAAATCATATTAAACCAGTTTAAGTCCAATCTCTTGTATCCATATTCCTAGAAGATTCTCAATGATTCCAAATAATTGTCCCAGATATTCCAAAAACTAACATTTCTCAGGGACAACTTAAAACCTTCTGAACTTTAAATTCCTGAGCTTAAATTTATTACCAATACTAATATTACTAGTTTGAAATTTTTTATTAAACTGGCCAATTAACCTGATTAATCAATTCCTTATAAGCATTGATTATTCTTATGTAAAACTGTCAACTAGTGTTTCTAGTTATTACCCAGTTATTTTAACTAATGTCATGAAAATAATCAACTAATTAATGTTTCTGGTTATCCCAATTTTCCAGTAATTGAAATATTGCCATTATGATTTTGCATTAATGTTACAACTTGTGAAAATAACACTCGTTGAAATAAGGCTTCCGATTATTCCAACAATTTATGCCGTTGTAATATTGCCATTATATTTATTTGTTTTTAAGCACAAAGCTACACAATGGGCTATCTGTGCTCTACTCGCCACAGGTATTGAAAATCCAATTTGTAGAATTTTAAGTAGTTTTTCTTTTTCAAACCATCTCATAAAAATAATTAATTATTTGAATGTAATGAATTAAAAATCCTGATAATTAATCAGCATATTCCAATAATTGCCCATCTCTGGTTCTATCCAAGCTGTGATAACTTTGAACATCTGAATCAAGTCACTGTAGTTTCTTGACCATGTAAAAACCTGGTGTTGTTCTCATGATCTTTCTTTGTTCCCTTTCCAGCAATAAGTATCCTTCCCATGAGAGTTTGCCTGGATAATGTATGTTGTTTATCAAATGAAATATCAGTTGGCACTGTTACCGTTTCGCTGACAAAATGGAGTCTTGGAGTGTCGTAGATTGTTTTTACCCTAATAATCAACATGAGTAATTTGAAAAATTTAAGTTACAAGATAAGTTTAAGAAATTTTCATAACTGAAATACAAGGTAGGGGCAGCTCAGACTTGGAATCACCATGGAAATAAAATACTAAAGATTTACCCACTGATCATTTTTAAGACTAATCTTGAAATATTTCAGACCTGTATGGAACTCTTTTCCTTAAAAGGATTGGGAAATAATTGAGACGATACAAACAAGAGGAGCTGTATAAATAGATTGGAGATATTTAAATTTCCATAAGTTAGGTGCAGAAGATGGACAGCAGATAATATTCATAGATTTCAGGAGTTTAAATTCTGTTAATAAATCTCTACTTGGAAAATGTTTTATGGAACAAAATGTGCAGTAAGACATCTAAAAAATATTAATACAGAAATAAGAATGGTATTTAGGAAGGAGGTTTTCTTAAATACAGTTGTAACTGCTCAGAATGTTTTTTGCACCAAGCAAATATGGTGTTTAGAAAGAACGTTTACTCAATTAGAATTTTGAGCACAAAAAAATGTTCTCTGCACTAAGCAAATGGACTTGTAAGTGCTCAAGGTTTACTCTCCAAATTAGTTTAAAGCAGTGCCACAGTAAACAGTTTAACAATGCTCTATATATGTTTAGTGCCCTAAACAATTTTGCATTATACTAATATTTATACTAAACTGTGCAAAACATATCAAAATAACTTGTATATTTGTGTTGAGGAGGATATATATATATATATACTGGCTTAAATGATTGCTGCCTTATCCCAAAGCATACTCTAGATGTTTTTGTGAAGAGCTACATGTAGGAAGGCTTCAGAATAGAGAAATTTCAGGACTTGAGGATATCTTAATCCTTGTAATGATGATAAAGTTGGTAGAGCTTGTGAATCATAGTGTACAAAGTGAAGAGACCATGTGGGGGGAAAAAAAGGACACTTGAAATCATCCTGGGTAGTTTTAGCAGTAACAAATAAGTCATTCTCAACCATGACAAAAAAAAATCATTGTTGAATGATTACACATCTTTTATAAAGCTCCAATTTTTTTATGATAAAGAAATAATGTTTATAAATATTTGTATTTATCAGTTTGCCAGTAGATGTCTTCACTAGTAAATCTTGACATTTTTTTCTGTTTGAAGTTAATGTGCAATGTACTTTTGTGGTAATATTTGTTTTTTGTATTTTTATTTTTTGAAAAATTAGGTCTCCTGAAATCAGAGAAATGAAGGTGGTAGTTGAGAGTTGGCTGAGCTATCCTATAGATGGCATTGTTGAAATTCCTACACATTCAGATGCTACAGTAGACAGTGTCATTTCTTTCTTTTGTGCCCGCAGAGGAGTGACTCATGACCCATCTTTTGCTCTTTTGATGGTTATAATAGGTGTTTTAAAAATAAAAGACTTTAGGAAAACAAGGAATTACAGATGGAAAATCTTATATTA